CTTCGGGTTATGACCAACTCGGGATACGTCCAGAGTCACGGAACGGATTAAGTTCGTATCCCGAGGTACCACTGTATTCACCTCCTGCTTGCAAGCATCCCAGAGGTGTCTAGTTGGCCACTATAAGAAATGAAATCCTGGATTAAGATAAGCCTTGGCTTTTTTTTTTTTTTTTTGGTCCCTAAAAAATGATGAGGTTGGAAGCTTCCTTTAAAATATGATGTTCAGTGTGGATAGTATTGCGGCTTTAAGGTTTCATAAAGTATAGTAGCCTGCATATACCTGTATTAATTGCTCTCTGATTCATTTGAGTTACAGCATGGCACCTATCAGGGTTATTCACCTTTTCTGTTGCTTTTTGATTTAACGCTTGAACCCTTAGCAATTTCTGTTAGGCAATCTTGTAATATTATTAGTATTCCATTGGCAGGTTTTGAATATAAATTATTTTTATATGCTGATGATATTTTGGCAATTTTAGATTATTATTCTCCTTCATTGTTGAATTTTATGTGAGTGGTTCAACAGTATGGTAAGTATTTGGGATACAAGATTAATTTGGATAAGTCCATTCTACTTCCTTTGGGTTCCAATATATCAGTGTAAAAAACTGGGCTTTGTAATTTCTGCTGAACATATTAAGTATTAAGGACTTTATATTCCTAAAATCATTAGATTTGATTTTGAAAATTATTTCTAAATATGTAGAAACAATATGTTAATCATTTTAGAAATGGTCACATTGGATATCAATAGGTGGATTAAAATTCCATTAAGTTGGTGAGATAAAGTTAATGCTATTAAAATGAATATTGATTTAAGTTCTAAGAGGTATTCCAATGTTAATTCCAAATAGATATTTTCTTCAGATAGGCAAATTAAGAAAATTAACATAGAAAAATAGTCCAGCAGATTTCACTGGCAAAGTTGAAATTCTATTTTGATGATGGTTTGTTGTTTTAATTTACCAGATTTTCAAAAATATTATTGGGCTTTCATTTATCAGCCATATTTATGTGGAATGAAAATTTTGTAGACTATCAACCTTTGTGAGCTTCACTGGAAAATTTTTATTTATCCTACTATGATCTTGGCAATTACTTGGGTCAGTTATAATAAAAAGGACCTTTCTTTTCCAGAATTGAGGGCAGGTAGACAGGTTTGGGCCTTATTGGGTCATAGATTGGATTTCGACATTGAAGCTTCGTTGAGATTTACTATAACCCTAATTTTATGGAAGAATCAACTTTTGAAAATAGGTGGCAGGATATTCTATTGGAAAGTATGGTGGAATTAATTACTTTATATTCATTACTTTGTAATGATTATTTTAAGGATTTCTTTCGACTTCAGACAATAATGACAATACACTCAACTCAAACATGTCCTGATAGCTCAATATTAACAGGATGCTTTAGCTACTTCAAAGAAACCTGATATGTTTTATTTTTTGATGGAGTCTATTTCTGAAACCAAACTTTCCTTTTTTCTGCATCAAATATTAAGTAATATTTTTAAAGTTAAAATTACAAACATTTATGATGCATGGACCAAGAATTGGAATATTTGATAAGAGAATACCATTGATTCCAAGTCTTAAAGAATGTCATGCTGGTGTTATTGGACTTAAGATTGAAACTGATTCATCAAAATAATTTATTTTGTATCTATTGGATGCCCCAAGGAATGTATTTTGAAATGATGGAAGTCAGATTTTCTCTATTGGTGATGTAAAAAATTTGAGGGGGTCATTAACTGATACGATTTGGTCTTGTGAGCTATTGATATCCTTCTGGAACAATATTTTTATATATAAGTAGATTTATGGGGAAATCTCTTAAAGATATTAATGTTATTTATTTATTTATATTTCAAATTTGGTCACTGCCCATCTCACAAGGAAGTGACTCTGGGCGGTTTACAATAAAAACAACAAATAAATATTAATTAAAATACAATAAAAACCAAATACATACATAAATATCTTCCAAGGTGCTGCTGGTAGAAAAGATATTAACATACAGGAGCATCTTCAATGTGCTAACCACCCCCAGGATTGGTTGCCCCTTTTCTCCCCCCATGCAAGTTGGCAGAGCCAGGTCTTAACTGCTTTCTGGAAGGTCAAGAGAGTAGGGGCCTGCCTCACCTCTGGGGGGAGGGAATTCCATAGGGCGAGAGCCACGGCAGAAAAGGCTCTGCAAGGTTATGTTGAATTATGTTCCAAAAACGTAGAATTTGACTGTTTTTCAGAAACTTTGGCTATTCAGGGTGTGGGGAATTGCCAGGAGAATTGTTTTGAGAAGTTGGAAAAATATTGTTATTCTGGATGTTAAAGATTCGATTCAGGACATTTGTAACTTATTCATTTTTCAAAAAGATATGATTCTGCTAATCATAAAATGATACAATATGTGTCTCTTTGGCACAGATTTCATGATATTTTATCCCAGTAGTTTTATTTTTTGTAATGCTGAAATTTTGTAATACTTTATAAATGATATGCTTATATTGGTTGTAGTTTTGTTTGTTCTGTTTTCTGTTTCATTTGCTATTGTTTATTATTAATTGTATTTTTCTTTTTAAATTTTTCTTTAGAGCTTGTTTTTCTTGTTTTTTTTGTACTTGGTTTATTTATTTTTCTTTTTTTAAACTTGTAATAAAATAAAGTAAAACAAATATTTAGGTATCAACTGTTGATATGTATGCTTGCTTACTTAAACTATTTTATGTCCTGCTTGTAGTTACAAAGTCAAAAGAAGTATGTCAGCAATAAATACAAATAATACTATTCCTAGGCTGAGAAACTTGCCAAGAACTTTTCTTTAGATAAGCAAGATGTGCCTTCAGGAGCAACCACCATGTTGTTAGATTCAGAAGATCCTAAAGAACAACTTTTAGAAGAATGTGAAGAAATATGGAAACAAGTGGAGGAGGTAATAGGCAATAATTACATATACTTATAAGATAAGTGAAGCTGTGCATCTGAATATTTGGTATTTGGTATTAATTTTCTTGTTTCCTCCTCTGCTTGCCATGGTCATAGATGTGCCTAAGCAGAGAGATGAACTTTACTATTGCTACCGAAAATCATTAACTTTAAGATACAAATAAACTTTCCCAAAACAGTTTTGGAAAAACTAATCAGAGTGTTAGTTCTTACATTATTTTTAACATAATGACATGGAATAGATTATAAATCAAAGCTGACAGTATGTTAAGGTTATCTTACAGTTAAGGAATATTTTCAAAAGTAGAAGCGCTATATAATATAAATCAATTTATCTTCTAAAAGATATGATTAATCAATTTTTATATGATTTTTATTGAAACTTTTAAAAAAGTTAAAAATTAATCCAAACTAATATAAAGTATGCAAGAAAAAAGAAAAAGGAAGAAAGCAAAGTGAAAGCAAAAAGTGCAAGAAAAGAAAAAAAGTTTAAGAAAAATAGAAAAGAAAGAAAAAAGATACAAAGAGGTTTCTTCCAATATTCTTCACAGCGGTTATAAGTACAATTATATTTTAAGCTCTCTCTCTAAAGGTACATCATAATACTCTTATTTCTATAATCTATCCTATCTAATCATCAAAGCCATAAATCACAAGTTCATTTTTATGCAAAAATTCCATAGGAAAAGATATGATTAGTCTAAAAAAGTTTGGTATTTAATCTCAATAGGATAAAAATCAGTATTTAGGTCCTGTGAAATCAGCATGTTTAAGTTGACCTTTATCTTAAATAATAAACATTTTTAAGTGGTCTTAAGAAAAATATGCCTTATTACTATAAGCTTATATTTAATTTTTTATATCCCATTTTTCTTTTGAAGTGCCAGAACAGATTAACTCTTCAGGATGTTGAAACTCTTCCAGATTCAGATCTCAAGGTAAGAGTAAAGTTTCAGAACTGAGTTTTCTAAACAATGAAACCTTGTTAATAGACTAATTGGGGAGATGGGGTATCTGTTTACTAAAGAAAGTCACTTGAATCAGAGAGCAGGGCATTAGGGATTTACATCATCACTGATGCAAATTGGTAAATTACTGTGGAAATTTGCAAAATCTGTTTCATTGGTTAAAATGAAATTTCACAGTATTGGTATAATACATTAAAGACAACATGGTGTAGTGGTGAAGTTATTGGACTAGCAGCAGGAAGATGCAGGTTTTGGTCCATTGTCATCCACAGAAGCTCACTGGGTGACTTTGGACTCTTAGAGCCCAACCTATCTTATAGGGTAATTGTCATGGGGAAAAGCAGGAGGAGGGAGCACTATGTATGCTGCCTTGAGGTCCTGCATGAAGGGTACAATATAAATCAAATAACAAAGGAGTAGATTTCCAAATACATAAATTATAATAATGTATTTTAAAAAATACCTATATTCTGGAATGCAATAGTTTGTTCCAGGTTAGAAACAAATATTTCTCACACTGAAGAAGTACAGTATCTTCCTATGAGGTAGAGAACCTATGGTCTGCCAGAAATTGCTGTATCCATAGAAATAATGGGGTAACAAACGGTTTGACAGCCATCTGTTTTGGATTATTTAATTTGGGTTCTAGCTCTAAGCACAGGATTTGACTTAGTGGTCTAAATGGCGCCTTCTAACTCTAGGAATCTATGATTCTGCTGAGTTCCCAGCACTGTATTGACTGCTGCTGAAACTGTAGTTTAGCAATACCTGAAGGTTCATAAGGTTCAGATACCAGTATAACTCTGTTCTGAGAGCATAGATTTGCCTGAACATGAGTATTAAAGTGGGGGAGATTATACTTTTCAGTCCCATGCTTCAACTGGGGTAGTTTTTAAAATTTATTTCAAGTACTGTATATAAAAATACATATTAAGATAATGTTGAAATTTTGCCATGTTTGACAGCTTTCATTGTTAATCAAACGATTCAAGGCTTTAACAGCTGAATTTAACCAATGGCAGAAAAGAACACCAGAAAGTAAGCTTTTTTATTTGGATTGAATTATGTACAATGTTATAAAATCTGAAGTATAGAATATATAGTTATACTTTCTATAGAATATATAATAATTGTACTAAATTATTGCCACAGCTTTTATCAGTTGTATCACATTCTCTGTATTTTAGACATATTTTTCTGTCTTTCCTGAGTAAATTTAAGACATTATTCTTTATTTTTCTTATTTCCTTTTGAAATCAGTTCTATATTTTTGTTAGCACTGAAGTAGTACACTAATATTGATTATACTCTCAGTAATATTCTTCTTCTCCCAGTCATGTATATAATTTTGTATTCAATGGATTTTAAGTGCCTGCTCTATACTAAAGTGGAGAATGTTGCATTTTTTTTGTGCTACCTTTTATCATTTTATTTTAGAGTTTTAAGTAATCTGTAATCCACCAGAGAATTTAAATTGAGCAGTTGGATTCCTTCTCCTTCTCCTTCTCCTTCTCCTTCTCCTTCTCCTTCTCCTTCTCCTTCTCCTTCTCCTTCTCCTTC